GGTGGCATAAAGTGAATGATACACCGTTCGCAAAACGGGATATGCAACGGTGGCATAAAGTGAATGATACACCGTCGCACCGAGGGGTGGCGACAAACGGCTGCGCGGTGAGCACAGTCGCACTCCTCTGTGTAGCGCCTCAGGGTGAAGGGGGGGCATGCCGGGTCAAGCTGAGACTAATGGTAGAGGCACCAGGGGTCGTTCTTCGCCCACAGCAGCAACTGACACTCAGAGCAGGCGCAACGACGCCCGCCCGACTGGGTGGCATACACAGACGGGTCGGAAGACCTAGGGAAAGCAGGGTGGGCCTATACAGTACTCATCGGGGGCGACGCAATCGGCGATAGGGGCGCGTCGCTGGCGAGCGAGGGCTACCAACGGGCCAGTTGTCACTTCGGCGGCGCATGGTCGCACACCGCCGCTGAGCTGTGATGATGCCCACAGCACCAGCAGCAAAGGCGGGCGGGCCGACCCCGCGGCCATCGCCGCCGCTGCCGCCTCCTCCGCCGCCGGTGCCGCCCCCTCTGCCGTCGCCGTCACCTTGGGCTGCATCACCCGCGCCGCCGCCGCGCACCGGCTCGTGCTCATTCAAAGGCGCCTCGAGTTGCAGGCCAGCGGCGCTGACGTTGTCGTGGTCGGGCTGCCCAACGTCGGCGCGGGAGGGAGGGGGCAACGCCGTTATGAAGAGCGCGAGAGCGAGCGCCGACGGCCCAGATTCTGAGCAGCAGCCCGCCTGGTCATGGGCCACTTGCCTACGTGCGTCCAGCTTCCACTATAGGACGAACGTCGAAGTTTGCTCTCCGACGCCGTGCCGAGCGAAACCTTTTCCTTCGAAGCCCGGCGACGTAGCCGGGCGAGCGGAATAGGGCAGCCCTAGAGAGCACCTTGAGGCCATTCAATAGAGCCCGTACTATAGTCGAGAGTCGATCGCCGGCCCGCGCAGTGCTGCTCTGACCGCTCCGCCGGGCCGCCTCCGGGCCGCCGCGGCGGAGACGTGCACATAGGCAAGTTGGTATTTTCATATATGAACTTCAAAATAGTATTGGCTAGTCTAATTCTACTCATCACAACTCGCCAGGAACACCCACACACTATAGGGTCATAGTGTAGCCCTGCTTAGAAGGAAAAGGTTTTCTGCAAGGTCCGTATGGCTCACCGTGTAGTCGGCCTGGTGTCACTTACTCAGGGCCCGGACGTGCGTCACGACACACACACGCGAAGCCGTGCGAACGGACATCAACGGTGCCTGTTGAATGATAACACAAAACACAAAACGTGTGTAGCTGGTTACATTGGCCGCGTGTGTGTCTAGCAGTTGTCTTGAAGATGAATCTTGAGCTCAGTACCACGCGTCGTCGGCGCCAGGCCGCTCCGCCGCGTCGCATTCGGCCCTAGGTCGGCTTCCGCGTCAGCTCGCCTCTCCCTTCGCAGGCTCGCACCGCAGCATCACTGTCGTGCCCAGGTGGCGCCGCTGTACGCTCACCACCCGCAGCCCGCTCTCGGCCACCATCCCCTCGATGTCCCGGTTCCAGTAGCACCCCCACCGGTCGACGTGCCGGTTGAGGCGGTGGGCCTGTTCACGGTTGTGTGCGCTGTGAAGAGCGCCTCTTCACGGCAGCGGCCGAAGCTGCGCTTCCGCTCTTTCCTGCCACCAGCGAAGCGGCGCGAGGGACGACGCGCCATGCTCCAGCAGGAGCACGGCGCCGCCAGGCTTGCAGCAGCGCCCCATCTCTCTCAGCGCCTGGACGGGCGCCTCAAAGGAGCAAACGCCAAAGGTATCGACGACCGTGTCAAACGAGTCGTCGGCAAACGGAAGCGCCGACGCGTCCATCACCGCCAGTGTGACTGCGCTGGGGCAGCACGCGGCGCCTCCGCCGACTCGCGCCTCGGCCACCCGGCGCGCCGCCACCTGTAGCATCGCCTCGCAGTTGTCGCCGACAACCAGCTCGCTCACCGCGGCCGGGAAGTGCTCGAGGTTGCGCCCCGTGCCGCCGGCGATCTCGAGGACGCGGCCGCGCGCCTGTGCGACGAGCTCCTGCCTCCACGCCAGGATGCCGCTCGACTGCTCGTCGCAGTGCACGTCGCCGTCGTATCCCTGCGCCAGCTCTGCAAAGCGGTCGCGCCGCTGCTCGCACGTGAGCAGCGGCGGCTTTGGCCGCGATGCCTCGTACGCGACGAAGAGGCCAGTGCCGTACGCGAGGGAGGCGCCGGCGAGTGCGAGGCGAGAGCGGCCGACGGGGAGCATGCACAGGACGGGGTGGGCGGGGCCCACCGAAAAGACCGCGCCGCGGTTGGGCTTTATCAAGTACTAGCAGGTTGGCTCGCTAGTCGCTCGCCGGCCCGCGCAGCACGCGCGGGCCTTTTTTGTGGTCGGATGTTGGTCGTCTCGAATTTGATCTTGGGCAGTCACTTGTAGTGAGCGTCGGGCTGGTGGTTCGACACCGAGTTTGAAAAAAATAAAATGAACTCGGGGGCACGGGACGCGGCACAAACGGGGCACAAACGCCAGGCTACAAAGACGGGGAGGCACGTAGTGACGCAGGGGAGTCTAGGCGACGGCGGCGTCCTCCGACGCCGCGGCGAGCCTGAGCTCGGTCGCAATCTCTTCCGCCGCCGCGAGCTGCAGCGCGACTGACATGCGCTGGGCCTGCAGCGACAGCCACGACCGCGTCGACCAGCTCGCCTCGTCCTCGTGCTGCCGCTTCGAGAGCTTGTTGCGCACCTTGTCCTTCATCTGGTAGAACAGCCGTTTGACCGCGGTGCACCACCCGCCGAAGGTTTCGAACAGGTACATCTGCACGTCGGTGTCCGAGCGCGAGAGGGCGTGCGCGTAGTCCGCCTTCTTGTACGCCACATAGCCGCCGCCGTCGCTCGGCCTAGGCAGCGAGCCGCCGAGCTGAGGCAGCGAGCCGCCGAGCTGAGGCAGCGAGCCGCCGAGCTGAGGCAGCGAGCCGCCGAGCTGAGGCAGCGAGCCGCCGAGCTGAGGCAGCGAGCCGCCGAGCTGAGGCAGCGAGCCGCCGAGCTGAGGCAGCGAGCCGCCGAGCTGAGGCAGCGAGCCGCCGAGCTGAGGCAGCGAGCCGCCGAGCTGAGGCAGCGAGCCGCCGAGCTGAGGCAGCGAGCCGCCGAGCTGAGGCAGCGAGCCGCCGAGCTGAGGCAGCGAGCCGCCGAGCTGAGGCAGCGAGCCGCCGAGCTGAGGCAGCGAGCCGCCGAGCTGAGGCAGCGAGCCGCCGAGCTGAGGCAGCGAGCCGCCGAGCTGAGGCAGCGAGCCGCCGAGCTGAGGCAGCGAGCCGCCGAGCTGAGGCAGCGAGCCGCCGAGCTGAGGCAGCGAGCCGCCGAGCTGAGGCAGCGAGCACGGCAGCGAGCAGAACGGCTGCGGGCAGCAGCAGCAGCAGCCGGGCTCGGGTGCCGCGCAGCAGTACAGCGGCGCCGGCAGCAGAGGCAGCAGCTCAGCAGGCGCTGCATCTGGCAGTTGCTCAGCGCTTTTGCACGCGGCTGCTCTCCGCGGAGTAGCCGCAGAGCGAGCTGCCGCCGACGACGGAGCTAGAGCCTCCGTCGGCGGCGTCAGCCTGCTCGGTGGCGCCGCAGCCTCTCGCGGGCGCGGCGCCGGGCGGGCAAGCATTCCGATGCTGCCCGCCATGGAAAACGCGCGGAACACACCAGGCGCATCACCGAGTTTGAAAGATCGGTTTCTCTACGTCTCTCTTCACAGGAAAATCCTGTGAAGAAAAGCGGAGAAAAAAAACAGAAACCTTTTCTGCCTCGGCCTTAGTTAGCCGTCGGTACTCCGGAAGCGTGCTATCAGGGCGTGAGAAAGCTGGACGACTCGGTCGATGCGAGCCACCAGCTCGTGAGCGACGGGCGCGACGGGTTCCTCGGCGTAGGCTTGGGCGTGGTGAGCAGCGCCGGCGAGAGAGGGACGGCATGCGGCTCCCAAACGAGCCGCACGGGCTTCATCTGGGCCGCCGAGGCCACCTCCTTGGTCGCGGTGGCGGGCGTGAAGGCGAGGTGGGCCGAGGCAAGCGCTGAACGTGCCGTGCCGCCTTGCGCCCCTGAGGAGGGACGAGTGTGTGGGGTGCCACGGGCGGGGGGGAGCGGTGAGAGGAGAGCGGTGGGCACCCCCACGAGGGGCTGCGCGGACGCCGCCTGCCACCCCACGCACGCCACTGACGCTGTGGGGGCGGCACGATCGAACGTGCTGGTCGGGCGGGCCGTCTGAGTCGCCCAAGCGGTGCTCTGCCGGCCGGTGGACGCGAGGGTGGCCCAAGAGGGCTCAAAGTACGGAGCCGATACCCGGCCGTCCCGGACGCCTGGCACGCGGGCCAATGGTCCAGTCCTGTGCATGGCTGGAGCGAAGGAGGGAGAGCTCAGGAGGGCGACGGGGCAGGGAAGGGGGCGATGCGATGCGGCGAGGTCTAATCGGCGGCGTGGAGAGAGGAGGTGCCAAAAGGCGACTATAGAGAGGCCTCTACGGGTGATATGTGCGCCATGCCGGCGGGAGAGGTCTCTCACCGCCCCCCGGGCCGTCTCGAAGGGCCGGAGGTCGCCAGCGTCGCCAACGCCCAGCTCCGCGAGCCGCCCCTCATACCTGCGGTAGAGGTTGTCGGCGACGCGCGCGCGCTTGAACAGAGCCGCGCGCAGCCTTGTACTCTATGTTGGCTGTTGCCTCCAGACGCTCTTGAGCTCTGAGATGTGAGATGCGCGCGCCAGGGTTGACTAAAAATCGCAATTTTCTAGATTCCTGCATTCTGCACACCCAGGACCCAGCGCCGACCCGAGACCAGCGCCGAGACAGCGCCGAGAGGCCGCGTGGGACCCCCCTTTCAAGTGCATGATTGTGATCGTCCTAAACCGCTCGCTCTATGCGCTCAAACTCCTATCTAACCTCGTAAAGCCTGCCCCATCAACCACCCCTACGCCTACCGCCCCCGCAGACTGTGTCCTACTCCTAATGCGCCAACGGACCAGCCGAGATCAAGCGAAGCTCGCCAGCGGCGTCGTCTCGAGGCTCGAGTGCACGACGTCGCCGTCGGCATACGGGTTCCATTGCTCGGCCACCTGCTCACACGCAGAGGTGTGAAGAGACGCCGTTCACAGTCGGCACACGGGCTCCGCAGCGCTGCCACCGGTGGGTCCGCAACGAGCGCGGCGATCCTCTTCTCCTCGGCGAAGCACGAGACGTACACGTCCACCGGGCTGTGGATCCGCTCCTGCGCGAGATCGGCCGAGATGACCCGAGGTTGCCCGAGATTGCACGCCCACCGAGCTGAGGGTCCGCTCCTGCGCGAGCAGCCGAGCGGCGGGGGGCCACACCACGTACGCGTGCGTCTGCCACGCCCACGCCGCCTCGCGCAATGCCCCGCCGGCCGCGCTCAGCACGCGTTGCGCGCGCGGCGACGGCGCCGCGTCCCGCCATCGCGCGACGTGCGCGCTGAGGTAGAGGAGGACGAAGCGGTCCGCCGGCGGGAGACACCTCTCCACCAGCTGCACCAGCGCAGCAAGCGCGCCCGCCGCGCCAGCCTTGAGCGAGGCATCATCGCATCGGTAAGCTAGTCAACGTCAAGTAGCAATTCATCATAACTGGCGTAATTAGCGCCCGCCTTGAACGAGACATCGTCCTCCAGGATCAGCAGGGGCGCCTAGTCTCGGGAGGTCTCGCGAGATCACCCGAGATCACCCGAGATCACCCGAGGTTGCACCCTCCAGCACCAGCAGGCGCGCCTCGAGGTCAGAGCAGTGTCGCCACAGCGTCAGGTGCGACGACGCGCAGCCGCGCTCCCCGCTCGACATGGCCATCGCGCCGGCGGGGCAGGTGGTGTCGTACCTGGCGTTGACCAGCTGTGAACGGCGTCTCTTCACACCTCTAGCTGTGAGCAGGGGTGTCGTACCTGGCGTTGCGGCGCGTGTCCCAGCTCCTCGCAACCTCCTCCTCGCTCGCCTCGTCTCCGGTGTGTGCGCGGAATCGCGACGCTGCCAGCCCCGCCGCCCGAAGCTCCGCCTCCACCACCTCCCTCCGGTCCGCACGCCGGTCGAGGTTGATGTAGACCGCCGCGACGCCTTGCGCGGGAGGAGGCGCCGCCGCCGGAGCATTCCAGGCAGCATTCCAGGCCGCCAGGTTGGCAGCAACGCTGGCCGTGGTGCCGGCAAATGCGTCGGCAATGGCATCCTCTTGAACAACGCCGGCGGCGGAAGCGTCGACAAAAGCGCCGGCGGTAGCGTCGATGGAAGCGCCAGTGGTAGCGCCGACGGAAGCGCTGGTGTACAGCGCCGATGGTAGCGTGTGCGGCAGAGCCATGTGTGGAAACATGGCCGATGGCAGCACGGCTGGCGGTAGTATGGCCGATGGCAGCAGCGCCGGTGGCAGCGTCGGCGGCAGCAGCGTTGATGGCGGCACAGTGGGTGGCAGCATGCCCGCCTGAGGGTCGATCCTCTCATCTCGGCTAAACTCGGCTGATCTCGTCTAATCCGCGCCTATCTCGGTCGCAGCGCCTGCTCAGGCCAGGCGGCTGTGTAGCCGCACACGCCGTTATAGACCGCGCAGAATGGAGCGACGGCGTGGGTGGTGGCAGCTGCGACGCCGAGTGCATCGGCCGTGGTGGCAGCGAGGTTGGCGGTGGCAGCGAGGTTGGCGGTGGCAGCAGCGGTGGCAGCAGCGGAGGCGGTGAAGGAGGTGGCACAGATGCTGGCCGCAGCAGCGGCGGCGCCGCCTGATGGCGGTGGCATGGCGGACGGAAGAGGGGCCTGCGTTGACCTTCCCCGCCGCCGCTGCTGAGGTGGCTGGCCGTGAGCTGTGCCGCTGTCTGCGGCGTGAGGAGCCCGTGCCACAGCGCAGTACACCGCAGCTGCTGGTCCGCCCGGATGCAGCCCCGAATCGGCGTTCACGCCCCTCGCACAACACTGGGCACGGGACTGGCGCGCACTGGCACTAACACAGGTACACCACTGGAGCCGCCTAAGCGACTCCCGCGAGGACGGCGAGGCACTTAGCTCCGTGCACTCGACCGCCCTCGCCGCGGGCAAGCTCATTTATATATACCAAAAGGGGGGCTCCCCGGGGCCCTTTACGGGAAGGGCGGGGGCCCTATTGGGGGCCCCCCGCTCCCTTCCCCTTAGAACCCCCCATCCCGGTAGCCCCCCCCCCCCCCCCCCCGCGGTCCCTCGCGGTCGCGCGACGCCGCACCAATGGCGCGCTGTGCCTCGTCCGCGAGCGCCGTCCAGAGCTGCACCGACAGTCGCTGCAGCGCAAAC